GTCCACCCTTTACCAACCAACGACGAAATGCTGTCATCGTTATCCAAAGGTAACGAGGTACCGCAGTGTCGGGTTTGGCAAAGAAGTTGCACATCCGTTTCATGCATTAACACCTCGCACAAACGCCTCAGGGAGCTTATCATACCCTGAAATTTAGTAACGGACATGGTGCATATGTGTGTCTTCAATTCGGCTAACACCTCCTCCGCCGTACGCAATTTCGTCCCTCGGTCCAAAATCAATGCTTGCGAGGTGGTCGCGGATTCCGACGCGCCTAACTCCATTGCCTCCGTGAATTCAATGGCAGCTACCGGTTCCGGAGAATCAGGTATGCACCACCGACAACCACGAACTAAATACGCCAAATCCGCTCCCTGATCACAAGCCACGTAGCACATGTGTGCACACGGCGTTCGCCAATGACTATGAAACTCACAGTCGCAACCGTCACAAAGTACCAAAAAAGTACGGTTACCCACACGCCACCTGCACTTTACCGCAACTTCCATACCCTCGGAACGGCATCCGATTATGTCCTCCGCTGACAGGTGCCTCATTAACTGCTCCCGCGCGTACGGCGTCAAAGGTACCAGTACACCTGTGAGCCGGCAAACGTTTACCGGAGGAACATACGGGCTTAGCTGGCATCTCGCCAACTTTGTCCGCCTCTCTTCCATCACACGATGCACACAATCAAGAGCCACAGTAAACAGCTGATGTACGGAAGACCGTTCACTAAGTTGCCGCTTAAGCTGCCGGTTCTCATTTTCCACCTTGTTGGTAGTGAAACAACCGAAGGTACACACCATTCGCAATCTATGCGCCGCCCATGAGGATGAAAACGGTATCCATGTGCGCAGTAAGTAATCATGGCATTCTGGGTTACGCGTTTCTATGGCGTGCAGTAGCTTCATGAAGTAGTCCTCACCTCTGGTGTACAGCATCTTAAGCAACCATCGCCGCAGCACTGTCCGATCCTCCGGGGACGCGTCATGCAGGTTTGAGCACCGTCTCGCCATGTCTCGCACAGCATGAAATCGACACAATACAACATGCGTCTGAGGATACACAGATTGAAACGCACTCGCTTGAGCGGCACATTTATCCATCACCGCCGTCCTTGCACGTGAAGAGGCAGGAACCATACCAAGCATCGCTTCCACAGCTTCCTGGTAACTCTGCGATGTCTCGTTCGACATTAAAGCGTAGAAAAATGACATGGCGACACCAGTTACGTCTACGAACATACAGTGCCACAGAATGTACCCCCGCAGTTGATTTGGTGGGTGGCATCCGCCAACAGGACCTCACAGTAACGCTGCACCATTCCTTCCATGCAAGAAGGGGCAAAGTACACCGACCTTATTTGATCATTACTCCTTTGAACCCGGCACTTCCCATGCTGCTCCAACAAACGAACAACTTGAAAAACCTCGCTGTCAGTGTTGCGCATGTGCCTCCGCCTCATGTACCACAAATTCGCCTTCGTCATCCGCCGGCCGTAAGTCCGCCACACATGAGTCCTTACTTCACGGCTTCCTTTAAATGTCTCCATTAACGAACTAAGTTCCGACTCCTGCTCAGCAGTTAAACGACGGTTGATGGGATACAACCATGGCTGACCAACTTGAAAACTATGTGTGTGCTCCAGGTTGAAGTTGCAACGCTCATATAGTTGTCCCTTCAAACTGAATGAGAACCGCGCAAGGCAGCTGCAATCACGGAATCTGTGAAATCAAGGATCATTTACGCAACATATACATAGGCGACTTACCGCTTCCCACCTGCTCCTTCGCGTGTAGAATGTACGCACCGAAATTGTACATACCGGTACGGAAAGCTTTCCGCGGTCTTCGCGTCACTTTTCTTATAATGCTTCTTCAAAGAATCCGTACGACATTTGAAAAATCTGCTGGCAGTCGCAAATTGGAAGTTGCGAATCGCTTCCTCCACTTCACGCCAGCTTTTATAACGATCGCTTACCATACGGCAAAAAATTGCGGTGTCATCCAACATGGCGCTCGAGATTCAATATGACCTCCTCCAGGTAACCTCATTTAAAATAGTGCGAACATTACCAACCATTAATGTTAGCAAATGCCATTTCCCGTACATACTTACGCAGTAACCTCCCCATATTTATCTTCCTCGCATCTCATTATGATCGCATCACATTGTAGCCTGGCGTACCGGAACACAAAGTCCCTCCAGGCCCATTTTCCATGTCAAAAATTAGCCACTCCCTGGTGGACGATCTTCCGTCGTTTAATCGTTTGGTGAAATTATATATTCGCGAACATTCGCGGACATGGAACAGGAGGTGAAGAAATTTCAGCAGGCTACTACGACGGCCTTCTATAAGCGGTCAGTGGTTACTCGAAGTCGGTACAAAATTTACTTAACTTAACTTTACCTCCTATAAATATACTAAGTGCATTCCATTTTATTATTGAAACCTCATTAATTATTTCTTAACGCCCGGGATTGCCTAATTGATAAATGCTGTTCCATTTAACCTTGGCCCGTAACCAAAATTCCGCCCTTGGTTAGAGCCCAGCTCCCGGACTTACCGAGATCCTCCGTCCACCGATACTTATGACAGGTACCGTAAGGCTAGATATAGGTGTAAGCAACACCTAAGGGATGCTCGGCTCAATTTTGAAAAAGGGTTAGCGGACGTAACTTCAGAGAATCCAAAAAAATTCTTCGCTTATGTAAAAAGGCGCTGCGCTTCGAACATATCAATTTCAGTATTGATGCGATATGACGGTAATCATGCGCATACGGATTATAACAGGGCCTGCGTACTCAGTGGGCAATATGCGGCAGCGTATGTAAGGGAAACCTCTTTGACAGGCGTTGAGCTCGTTTGCAGGACCACAGAGGGTTCAGAACTATCCGAGTTTATTGTAGCGGGGAATGCAGTTCGTAGGCTGTTATAAGGGCTGAACCCTTCTAAGGCCTCGGCCTGGTTTAATTCACCCAAAACTGTTGCATGAGTTGGCTGCGGAACTAAGTGGACCGCTCGCTATTGTGTTTCAGAAATCGCTTGCCAGTTGTGCATTGCCTTCCGAATGGAAAGAAGTTGTCATCTGTCCCATCTTCAAACATGGGGACAGGGGTCTGCCTGCAAATTACAGGCCAGTTAGTCTGACGAGTTTAGTAGTCAAACTCCTCGAGAAACTGGTGAAAGATTCATTGGAGAGTCTTCTGAGTAGATTTAATCTACTTAGCAACGTACAACACGTATTCCGGAAGAGATTTTCGTGTCTGACGAATCTGTTGGTGGCTCGCGAAAATTGGGCGGATGCAGTGGATAACGGCCACACACTGGAAGTGCTTTTCGTCAACTTTTCGAAGGCATTTGACAAGGCACCCCATTTGAGGCTCGCGCAAAAGCTGTCCTCCTAAGGGGTATCTGGACGCGCCCTCCATTGGGTGATTTCCTTCTTGAAGGGTAGAGAACAGTGTGTACGGGTAGGCCGGGGCCTATCCTTTAGGCAGTGTGTCCTCAGCGGCGTGCCGCAGGGCCCGTTCCTTGGACCGCTGTTTTTCTCTATCTATGTGAATGACCTACCCACGGAGTTTGAGGTACCATCGCTGCTATTTGCTGATGACCTGAAGCTGTGGAACATTGTTGATGTTCCTTGGGGTTCCGAAGCTATTCAGCGAGCATTGGATAAGCTTTGGGACTGGTCTACTTTATGGTTACTGCCCATAAATCAGGCAAAGTGCTCCGTTCTTCGAATTGGGGGAGGTTGTCCTCCTGCGAAGTACTTGGTCGGTGTGGTCGAACTCCCCCGTGTATCTAGCCAGGTTGACCTAGGCGTCGTACACTCTTCGGCTTTACACTCCGGCGACAATTGGAAGAAGGCCGCAAGCAGAGTTTTCCGCATGTTGTGGTTAATCCGACGTTCTTTCGGAGTCTTGACGGGCGGCATCTTTACGAGGCTGTTCTCGGCTTTCGTTCGGCCTCATCTGGAATACTGCGTCCAGGCTTGTCCGCCCTGCCTCTTCCGGGACAAAATGGAGTTGGAGAGGGTTTTACGAGTGGGTATTAGGTTAGTCGAGGGATTACGGGGACGGACGTACCCCGAGCGTCTACTTAGTTTGGGAATGCATTCAATGCACTACCGAAGGCTTAGAGGAGACCTAATCCTGACCTACCTTATCTTGACTGGGAAGGTTGGTCCAGATTTATCTTGGCTATTCAGTCCCGCTAGATTGTCTGTTCTACGCGGTCATTCGTTGAAGCTGGACAAACCGCGGTCCGATCAGATTAGGGCGGAAATCTGGCTGTCACGCAGAGTCACCGACCGCTGGAACATGCTTCCGGAAAGTGTTATCAGGGAATCTACGGTTAAGGGGTTTGAGCGGCAACTTGACGTTCTTGGGTGGCAACACGAAACCTTTCCATTTTCCTGAGTACCTCGCATCTTCGTACTTTGATTTTCTTTTCTCTACTTTTCTTCACGTATTGGTATTCTTTTCTTATTTAAGTGCACTTCCCTGTTTTGTACCTTCGATTTCTCTTCCTATCATTTTCTTACTTCACATGACTGCCACAGCAGGGACTGCTAGGGCAGGAAACGTGGGCATTAACTGGTTGGCCAGGGTGCGATACGGGTGTTTCCGTTTTAGATCCCTCAATAACTGAGCCCTTCATCAATTCCTGGCTCAACGATCCACTCAAGATGGAACAGTCACAAAATTCTGCTATCATTCCAGTCCCCATCTGAACTGAACTTAACTGAACTGAGTAACTTGAAATAAGACAGTTTCTCAAATGACGGAAGAAAATACTCCAAGTGTTGGTAGATGATTCCAATCATCAGGCCGATTTCACTAATCACGAGGAAAGTTGTGCACCGCAGTGTGCGCAGGGGGAGGACGCTCATGAGGATAAAGAGGATGTGGAAATCGTGGAGGAGGTTCAACGCCTGCTCCACGAAGAGACGAAACATCACAAGTAACGTCTCAAACGGGTTCGTAAAGCGAGGATGAAACTGGCCGAAAGATTCTTTCTGAAAATTAAGCATCCTGGTGACCGTATTGAGGAGGTGGATGAGGAATCGTTTGCGTTATCTACAATCCACGACTTGGTCTTTCTAGACAATGCACAGAGGCTGTTTGGAAATACCAGTCAAACCGGTGTGGACGCGTTTGTCCGGAAAGAAAATGAACTATCGCTGAAAGAATTGTGGAGCAAATACGAGAATGAACAGCACTCCGCCATTGAGGGAAGTAAGTGTGTTCACTTTGAACATAGTGATGACATGGACCCACCCGATTACGCCAATGATGACATATCAGCTTAGAAAGACACTCGCGACTACTTGTAGCTTAGCTCAAACGAAGAGGATGACGATGAGGGTCACGGTTTTTTTCGAGACGTTGATCTCGATTACGACAGTATGGCTAAGCCGTCACAAACTCGAGTTAAGTTTAGTAATTCGACGGACTCCCTTGGAAAAAAGAAACTCTCCCAATCTCATCCAAAGAAAACACCTCGAGTGGAAGCGGGACAGAATGCTCAACCCGTTGCAAAAAAACTAGTTTACCATTACTGCCAGCGTTTACCAAACTTACTCAACGTCGGAATCCTCTTTTAATGAATTTAAATGACATTGCCGAAACATTGAAACGTAAACGAAAGATCCAGTCATGGCTGGAAAAGAAAGGGAAAAGAAAGCGACGAGAGCGTCAAAGAATGATCGGTGGTTAAGCAGCAGAAGGATAGCAGTCAAGCGCATGGTAAATATTTTCGGAGGATCTAGACTTATACTGAAGACACAGGGCGCTAAGCGGGTAATGCTACGGCCTAGTAAGCTGGTAAATAACAGTGAGAGAGCTGGACTCCTACATGAACAAGTGTCGTAAAAGTTGTTGTTGCAAAATAGGCAAAACTAATATCTAGAAAGAAAAAACTAAGGAAAGGCTCTATGCTGAATAGATAAGAAAAGCTTAATCGATAAGGAGAGCTGAAAAGAGTTACTTAAAAGACAACAAAAGAGCGGAAGCCAAGCATATATTAAGGTCGCTGAGGACGTCACAACATATGTGATATAAACGCAGCGTCGTGCAGACACCGGTCGTGCTAGAGTGCTAAGGAAATAGTACCAAGGTTTACTGTTAGAAAAGCCACAGTGAGAGATGGAAGTCTACCTGAGCAAGTGTCAAAGTCATAGAAGCTAGTAAGGGATAAATAAACACTTGTTGATTAGTGGATAAGAAGCGTTTGTGTGCTGACTATATGAGATAAGATTGATAGCTAGAGGAGAGCTGGGGAAGGTTAATCGAAGAAAAGGCAGCGGATGGGAGGATTGCAAGCATAGGTTACGTTTGCTGAGTATGACATAGGAGTAAAGGCAAAAGTGCAGCAGCTCGCATATAGTCAAGTCATAGTAGAGTGCTTGGATAATAGTACCAAGTTAAATAGCGCCAAGGTAAGCTAGTTTCAAAGCTGGACACTTGCAGATGGAAAGACCGAAGTCCTTAGAACGAGTAATGGATAGATAAACATCTAGAAAACAGTTGCCATGTGCGGTTGTGCGCTGGTTATTTGCCTTGTTTCCTCGCTAGAATAGAGCTAAGCGAATTTTGATGAAAGGACAGTCAGCGAGCTAATCGCAAGCTTATATTGTTTGTTGAATACGTCAAAGCATAAGAGGCTATAGCGCAGTGGCATGCAGATACTCGTCATACTAGGGTGTCAAGGAAATAGTGCTAAATTATACTGTGCAGGGAAAAGCCAGTGAGCCAGCTGGACTCCTACATGAGCAAGTGTCGAAAACGTTGCAGGAGCTAAAAGTTGACTGAACGTCTAGAAACGGGAGACTAAGAAGCGGCCTGCGCTGACAACTTAATTTTTGTTTACTCGCTAGAATAGGGCTAAGGAGGGCTAATTGATGAAGGCAGTAGACGGGCGGAATGAAAGCATGCATTAAGGTTGCTGAGAACGTCACAACTTATGAGACATAAGCGCAACGTTGCGCAGAAACACAATGCTAGGGTGCTGAGGAATGGTACCAAGGTATACTGAGCCAGGAAAGCCAGTGCGGGTTCTGGTATCTTACATGAGCAAGTGTCAAAGACGTAGCAGCGAGTAACTCTTCGCTATACACCTAGAAATGAGGGGCTAAGAAGCGGTGTGCTGACCAGGTGAGATAAGATTGATGGCCAGAAAAGAGCTAAAAGAAGGATTAATGATGAAGGAACAACGAACGGGAGGAGCGCAGGCATACATTAAGTTTGTTGGATAGGTCAGAGCATGAATGGCTAAAACGCAGTGACGCACAGATACTTAAATTATGCTAGGGTGCTTAGGGAATAATGCTAAGGTAGACAGCTGGGAAAAGCCGGAGAGAGCTGGACTCCTTCATGAACAGTAGTCACAGACGTTGAGGCGAGTAAGGGGTAACTGGACTTCCAGAAAGGAGAGGCTAAGTAGCGGCTGAGCGCTGACATGACGAGATAAGAATCATTTCCAAAAGAAGGATAAAATTTTAAGTGAAAGGACAAGGAAAAGACAGGATATAAGCATACGTTAATGATGAGGAGGATCTCACTGCATATGAGGCAAAGCGCAGTAACCCGCAGATAATCAAGTCATGCTAGTGTGTTGGGATAATTGTACAAAGTTGGATAGAACCGGGGAAAGCTAGTATCAAAGCTGGATACTTGCGGGTGGAGAAACGGAAGACCTTATAACGAGTAAGGGATAAATGAACACCTGGGAAGCAGAGGCTATGTGCAGTTGTGCGCTGAGTATTTGAGTTATGTTTGTCTGCGAGAAGCGTGACAATAAAAGTTTACTGCTGACAGGACAGCAAACGGGCGGAACACAAATATATATTAAGGTTGTTAACTATGTCAGCGCGGGAGAAGCTAAAGCGCACTGGCGCGCAGGTACTGAAACCATGCTAAGATGATAAGAGAATATTGCTTAGGTAGAGTGAGCAAGGAAATGCCGGTGAGACTGTTGGACTGCTACCTGAGCAAGTGTCCGAGAGCTTGAAAGGAGTAAGGGAAAGCTGAGCATTTATAAACCTGAGACTAAGGAGCTTCTGTGCGCTGACTGATTTATGTTTGCTCGCTTAAAGAGAGCTAATGTGGGTTATTTGATGAAAAGGCTGAGCCCAGACGGAGTCCAAAGATACATTAAGGTTGCAGAGGACATCAGACCATATGAGGCAAAAACGCAGCCACGCAGAAACTTAAGTCATGCTTGGGTGCTAAACTAATAATACCAAGGTGGATAGAGCCAGGGAAAGCTAGTCCGGAAGCTGGACACTTGCAGGTGGAAGAACCGAAGACCTTATAAAGAGTGCGAGATAAATGAACAGCTAGAAAGGAGAGGCTAAAAGTGGCTGTGCACTGACCACGAGTTACTTTTGCTTTCTATAAGAGAGCTAAGAAAGTTTTCATGAGGAAAGCACAGCAACCGGGCGAAGCGCAAGCATACATTAAGTGTGTCGAATAGGTCAGAGCATAAGAGGCTAAAGCGCAGCGGCGCGCAGATGCTCACCTCACGTTAGGGTGCTAAGGGAATATTGCTAAGGTAGACTGAACCAGAAAAAAGCCAGTGAGAGACCTGGACTCCTACGTGAGCAGGCGTTACAAACATTGCGGTGATTAAAGGATAACAGCATCTAGATAGGAGAGGCAAAAGATCGGCTGTGCGCTAATCAGATAAGATTATGAGCTAGTACAGAGCTATCCTGCCCACGCAGTACCATGAATTTTCTCTCAAACAAATTGCTGATGCTCTGGCCACCGCAGAGGATAATTAACGGTGCCCTATCTGCTGCATCGAGCAGGGTGGATAGAGGTTTGGATGCTACTGCTCAAGCCTTCCCGTCTTCTTATTCCCCATCTTACGCTTTTTCACTCTTCCCGAGCACTTCCAACTTCACTTAGATCCCCACAGTTTTCAACCCCCCGATTCTTGGCCCTTCCCCAACATGCTTTGCTAGGCATTTATCTTCTAATTTCACCTCACATGTGAACGCAGAGCGTCAATCTTCTCCTGTCGACAAGCCCATGTCCAACCAGGCGGTCCATTCCAGTTCATCGTCTTCCATTTGGAGCCATCGATCCTCCTTCAGATTGGCATGCCTTAATGTACGCACACTACTACAGATCGGTCGACATGCAGCACTTGCCCGAACATTGGAGACCCTCTCGATCGATATCTGCTGCTTATCAGAGACCCGCCTGCAAGACTCGAGCTCTGTGCTCACTCTGCGATCCCCTTCAGGGGACGCAAGCAGTATTTTCTCCTTGCGCCTATCCGGTGACGATGCAGCTTCAAGCACCAGCCAAGCCGGTGTTGGTATTGCCCTGAGTCTCCGGGCTGAAGCTGCTCTGGTTGATTGGATTCCAATCAGTAGCCGGATGTGTGCGGTCCGATTGGCTGGCTCGTTTAAAGCTTCGAAGTCGCGCGGGACTACTAGATGTCTATTCATCATCGCTGCCTATGCGCCCACAAACTATAGCGATGATTCGGTAAAGAACGACTTCTACCGCCAACTGACTCAGCTCCTTCGCCACAGAAGAAGCACGGACACTGCTGTGCTGACGAGGGATATGAACGCACAAGTTGGAAAGTTGTCCACTGATGAAATGCATCTGGGCGGTCAGCACGGTGTAGGCTCCCGTAATGATAACGGTGAGCGGTTACTTCATTTGTGTGAAGATGCTCGCTTATTTCTTGCGAGCACTAATTTCCGACACAGCACCCGCCGGAGGGTGACTTGGCGCCCACCAGCCTCGAACCAGCGTTGGACGCAGATCAACCACATTGCTATTAGTTACCGCTGGAGAGGCTGCATCCAGAATTGTCGCTCGGTTTGGAGCACATGTGTGTCACCGATCATGCACTTGTATGTGCTGACATGCGGATGCGCTTTGGCGGACGCCCACGACGACGTTGTGAGCGCATTGACACCAGCCAACTGACAAAGCCAGCTGTTCTGAATGCGTATCAAAGTACGCTGACATGCGAGTTGAGCAGTCGCTCACTGGAGACAATTGATGGTCACTGGTCACATGTTCGCCAGACCTTACTAGCAGCGGGCAAATCCTAATGTGGTATGTCTAAAAGCCAACATGGACATTGGGTCTCTTCTCGGTCTCTGGAACTTATCGACGCTCGCCGGCATATCCCGGCTGGAAGCGAGCACAATGAAACTCGCAAAGAGCTCCGGGCAAAACTCCGCGCTAGCCTGAAGAGAGACCGCGAA